TAAAATTATTTAAAAGAATAAAATATGAAAAAAAAGAAATTGGAGTAGTGTCTTTGGATGCCTCTCCTGCATCCTTTGTCCCCGCCCACCCGACACATCTACATACCCCTCTATAATGTTCTTGGTCTTGCTCCTATCCTTTCAAACTCCAGAGCCAAAAGTCCTAAACAACTTGTGTAGAGTTATACTTATTATTATACTCATTATTCTACCAACTCTCACAGGCCCTCAACTTGAGGGTTGAGGAGAAATGTTAGTACACGGTTTTTACAAGGAGAGGGAAATGGCCATTACCGTTGCCATTTCAGAATGTGTTTCCAGAAACTGCCGTTTAAACTTAGAACTGCTAGCCTTCCCTTAACTGTGTATCACAGTGTGGTATGATTGCAGCTTGAGCACACTTTTTTGAAGACTTCTATAACATCATTTGTGATGATGAGATACATCTGCTCTTCCTCATTCCCAGTTTCGGAATGAGTTTGTGAGATAATTACCAATCAGCTAGCCAGTGTTACCAATGAAACTAATTCAAGTTAGCCTACGTTTTCTCACGTACATGTTGTTGTGTGCTGACGATTTAGAACTGACTCAGAGCTGATCCTCCAGCGGGTTTTCTGAGGCTGTAAATTGCACAAGAGGAGAGTGCCCATCTTTCTCCCACAAAACAGCTGGTGGATTTGAATCGTGTGCCTTTTGGTTGGCAGCGCAGCTCCTTACTACTGTTATTGCTGTTTCTTGTCGAGTTAGAACCCAGCCAGAGCCGACCCTTCGATGTTTTTTCACAGGCACTGTAATGCGTGGGAGGGATCTGCCCGTCCTTCCACAGAGCCGCTGGAGTATTTGTATTTCTAGTTTTCGGTGGGAATGAGTGCGTTTGAGATGGCTAGGTTGGCACAGGATAGAACAGCATTTAGAGCTCTTGTACATTGGGTCGCGATGAGTCACAAGTGACTCGATGGAACATAACAACAACAACAACAGTTTTACACAGTTCTTCCACACATAATACTTTGGCAGCTTGAACCTAAGTGCTTGATAGTAATGTGTATAGATTCACCTGAGTGGAGAGTGAACATTTGGTCCTAGTCCACAGGTTTTGATTGTCTTTCCTGATGACTGCCTCTGCTAAGTGGTTTCCACCATTTCCTTCCTCAGGGTGTCCCATTCCCGCAAGTTCTCAAAGTGCAGCATTTTGGAGTATAGAGACTTTCTGCAGAGAGGTGGGGGAGCCTGTCTGTTCAACAGACCAACCAAGGTTAGTACTTGCTTCTCCAGTGTTCTGCAGTAGACGGTGCTCAGGGGCTCTGCTTTCTGAGGCCTTTGGGGGTTGTGTTCTAACTGAAAGGCAGCGTCTCTTGGATAGTTTGAATCCACCAGAGGCAGAAAACCTCCTTATGCTCAGTTAACCACATCCGAAACCCACTCAAGGGTTGGCAGGCAGTCAGCTCCAGCTCCGTGATTATGAGAGATTTGAAGTATCTTAAAAATCAGGTTCCAGGCTAGTCAGATTAATATTTATCTATAAAAGACTTTTCGTTTTGCGGAATAAATCAAGTTTGGAAGAATAGCAAACCACAGTGAGAATGTTAGGAACCTATGATTTTTTTCAGTGCTGGCCAAACCCCTGAAGTAGTCCAGGGAGTCACTCCAGGTAGCTGTGCTGCTGACCCTTTTAAAAGCTGCTCTGCTCCGGTGTTTTGAATGCACCAGAGGCCTACCAGTGTGATTTACAGCCTCAGAAGCCTAATGGTGGGTAAGCGCTGAGTTGGTTCTGACCTGACAGCAATGAGTTTAAAGTTTTTTTAAAAAGTTATTTCTTATTTTTTTCCTCTTTTAAACCTTATGCCTCACATCTCTCCTCATCCAAATAAATGTCTAATTAAAATGTTGTTGTTGTTGTTATGTGCTGTCGAGTCGCTTGCGACTCATAGCGATAGATTTTAAAAATTTCACACACTGAAATCTTAGGTCACTATAGGATAGTGAGAAATCTGGAGAACAACCACTTGGCCAACTGACTGGAAGAGATCTATATTTGTTCCCATTCCAAAGAAAGGTGACCCAACTGAGTGTGGAAACTACAGAACAGTGTCATTGATTTCACATGCAAGCAAGATTCTACTGAAGATCATCCAAAAACGATTGGAACAGCACATCAGCAGAGAACTACCGGAAGTCCAGGCTGGGTTTAGAAGGGGTCGTGGTACTAGGGATATTGTTGCTGATGTTAGATGGATCTTGGCTGAAAGCAGAGAATACCAGAAGAATGTCTATCTGTGTTTCATTGATTATGCAAAGGCATTTGACTGTGTGGATCATAACAAACTGTGGCTGACTCTGAGAAGAATGGGAATCCCAGAACATTTAATTGTGCTAATGAGAAACCTGTACTTGGATCAAGAGGCAGTAGTCAGAACAGAGCAGGGCAACACTGCATGGTTCAAAATTGGGAAAGGTGTACGCCAGGGATGCATCCTGTCTCCATACCTTTTCAACATGTATGCAGAGCAGATTATCCGAGAGGCTGGGCTCTATGAGGAGAATTGTGGCATCAGGATTGGTGGAAGATCTATTAACAATCTCCGTTATGCAGATGACACAACCCTGCTTGCTGAAACTGAGGAGGACCTCATGCACTTGCTGAGAAGGGTCAAGGACTGCAGCCTTCAGTATGGACTAAGGCTCAATGTCAAGAAGACAAAGATTCTCGCCACTGGACCAATTAGCAGCGTCAGGATGGATGACAAAGAGATTGAGAGTGTTCACAGCTTCAGTTTGCTCGGCTCCACAGTCAACACTCTTGGTACCAGCAGTCAGGAAATCAAAAAGCATATAGTGATGGGAAAGTCTGCTGTTAGGGACCTCTCAAAGGTACTCAGGAGCAACAGTGTCTCTCTGGAGACTAAGGTGCGCCTGATACAGGCCATGGTATTTGCAATTGCTTGTTATGCATCAGAGAGTTGGACAATGACTAGGAAGGACAGAAGGAGAGTGGATGCTTTTGAGCTGTGGTGCTGGAGAAGGGCACTGAATGTACCATGGACTGCCAGGAAAACAAACAGATTCATCTTGGAGAGGATTAAACCAAGCTACTCCTTGGAGGCAAGGATTCTGGGGCTTTGTCTGACGTACTTTGGACATGTTGCCAGGAGGGACGGGTCCTTGGAGAGGGACATCATGCTTGGGAGGGTGGAGGGACAGCGCAGGAGGGGAAGACCCTCTATGAGATGGATTGATTCGGTGACTGGGGTAATCGGGATGGGTGTGTCAGAGGCGGTGCGGTTGGCACAGGACAGTGCAGGGTTTAGGGCTGTTGTGCATAGGGTCGCTATGAGTCGGAAACGACTCGACGGCACATAACAACAACCTTAGCTTGCTTCCATTTTTCCGTAATGTTCTTTCACACACTCTAACCAATACTTTCATGGGTTTTTAGTGTTTAAATGTGCCTTTTCTCACAGGAAGGAACCATAGTTGATACCAGCCACTTGAGAACTGACTGGCAGTGTTTTCAGATGCCATCTACGCATGTCTGCGTTATGTGGTTGCTTTCCATGGCATGTTACCTAAATGCTGCTCCTTTGTCATAGTTCAAACCCACCATTGGCTCCAGGGAAATCTCCTCCTGTTAAGGTTTACTTCAGAAACCCAGCAGAGGGTCTCTCTGTGTTGAAACTGACTTGACAGCAGAGTTTCCTTGGCATTTCAGCAAGCTTAGTGTACCTAGTCCTACAATGTCTACAACTCAAAATTTTCTGAAAATTGGAATTCTTTTTGATAAGTTTGCAGAAAACACGTTGGCCAGTAAAACTTCTAAACTTGAAAGTGTTAATTTATCTCTCATAGTTTGAAAAATTACAAGTATATAATTGAAGTATCAATAATTTATCATAGAAATATTAATGGCTTATTGCCTTTGGGTGAGAATCAACTCATAGCTGACCCTCCCTACAAACTGTGTCACCAGAACTTCTTGTTCTGACAAGACAAGACAGAAAGGCAGGATAGTATAGAAATTCCAACATTTCATATGCAATTATCATGTTTCCTCTTAAAAACATGACTTTGTAAGTCAAATACAGTTCATGGCCTCACAAATAGTTGATAGTCTTTGCAAATTGAGAAAGCAGTGACATTATGTGCAATTAGCATTTTAAAAACTCAGTTACACATGTGGCTAACTGACAGAATAATTCTCTCCACCCCCGTAATTAAGTGCTACTACTTTAGTCAGGAGATGGTAGAGTGAGGCCTGACATCTGTGTAAACTCTCACTAAAGCTGTAGAAAAAGCAGCAGGCGTTTTAATGTGACCTTGCATCGTTAAACCAGAAGGCCTGCATTTTCACGACATTGGCCTCAATGCAGCAGAAACCTGAAAGTTTCGTGGTGTTTGAAATGGGTGCAGTAAATACTAAGGAGCTAATGTGGGCCGCTAGCACTTTTGAATTGTGGTGGCCGTGGTGATCTTACCCTGCCGTGCAGCCCACCAGCTACTTACCAGCATTGTGCCCCAGGAAATACACTGAGTCGTTTGGAATAAGATTTCTGAGATTGCCAGTGAGTAGGAAGACAATTATTCCCATAATTTGGAAACGAAATAAAAAATAGCTCTACATCTCCGATAATAAAAATTCATAAAATGGAATTACTTTTCTGATTAAGTTACATATTAAACCCCAATTCCAGACTCACTGCCATTGAGTTGATTCCAATTCAAGGCGACCTTCCACTGGGTTTCCAAGACCAAAAAAATGTCATTGGAGAAGGTTGTTGCCTGTCTTTTCTCTGAAGAGCAACTGGCGGATTTGAGCCACTCTCCTTTCAGTTTGCAACCCTCCATGTACCATACTATGCCACACTTACTATGCCATAAACTCCGTATTAGAGCTGTTTAAAAACCTATGCATTCCAGTGGCAGAGTCAATGTCTATATCTGAGAATGTGTTATATTTGTAGGCGTATGTATATATTATATAGAGCTCTGGTGACCTAGTGGGTAAGGAGTCATGATGCCAGCCCACAGGCACATGATTCTAATCCACCAGCTGCTCCAGAGTAGGCAGTCTCCTGTATGAGTTACAGCCGCTGAAAACCTGCTGGAGGGTCAGCTGTGAGTTCCAGTTCAGTGGTACATGACAAGAACATATACCTTATCCTCACATTTTCTACACTTCGGCAACCTTCCCAAGGGCTTTGTTCTTCATCTAGACTGTGACAGTGATCATCTCACAATGGAAGGAGGAAAAGCTGGCCTAAGAGTGCAGCTTAGCACTGGCTACCTCACAGGCCTGAGAGAAAGTGCTAGTCTCCTGCCAATCTGTCGTTTCTTTGCCGTTTTGTGTCTGCTGATTATAATACCACAGACGTTTGGACTGTTGGCTTAGTAACTTCTCACGCTCTCTTGAAGATTCCATCCAGCCAGTCTGGAAATCTTATTTGCTTCCTATGAATTTTTTCCTTCCTCCAAAGTAGGAGAATGAGGCCTTTCTTGGGAAGACATGGTGGTCTGCAGATCTGCCTTGGGGTGTGCACTGCTGCTGGGGAAGGAATCTCTTTTTCCTTCTCATGTTTGTAGCTTGGTTGAGATGTGCAGTCCCAGCCTTCTTTTAGGTATACTGGTTGGCAGCTATTGTTGTTGTATACCATTGTTATCAGAACCCATCCATAGCAGACCCTCCAATGGGTTTTCAGGGGCAAGAAATCACATGGGAGGAGATTGCCCATCTATCTTCTGTGGAGCAGCTAGTGGATTTGAACCACAGGCCTTGGGTTGGAAGCACAGTTCCTCACCACTAAACTATCTGAGTTGCTTACTGGTTGACTATTGTTTTGTGCCAGTGAGTCAGAACTCACCCATTGCTGACCCTCCAGTGGGTCTTCAGAGGCAGTAAATCCCACAAGAGAAAATTGTTCATTCTCTCATGGAGCAGCTGGTGGATTCAAGCTGAGAGTGTTTGGAATTGCAGTGCAGCTTCTTAGCACTAGGCTAACGGGTTGACTAGATGATGACAAATCGGAGTGTTTTACATAGACAATCAACTGCCTCAGCTATTGATCTATAATACTGTTTACATGGCGAGAAAGCTTGTAGCATTACTCTGATGGCTTGTTCTAGAAATTTGACCCTTCCATTCTTTGTGAATGGTTGAGGCTTTTTTAAATACCTAAGCATCTCTCTACACATTTATTTACCGTACTTCAGACAGTGTGCATTCACCGAGAATTTGGACTTGAGTCATCACACCTAAGTTTATTTACTTTTACTTGATTCTGTATATCACACTTGACGGTAGCTAAAGGCATGTTTTTCGTTTTGGTAATTTTTGCATCTTCCTCAGCTGCTTTGAGACAAGCCAGTAAATTAGATGCCTGTGAGTCTTATTAGCAATGCATTTAACTCCATTAGCAAATATGAAAAATGATCTATTTCTCTTGACAGCTTATCCACATTGAAAAAAAATAGCCCTAATGCCAGAGAGGTAGTCCCTGGGCTCTCTGACCAGAGAATTTCCCTAGAGATATTACCCCATTTTAAGTATGTTTTAGACCTTTTTCTGGAAATGCTATTAATAAATGAACAGCATTCCCCAAACAGATATCATTTCCAAGATGCTGTGACGATAGATCATAGAAGATGATCATTTAGTGGCTGATTTAGGACCATGTCTGTGGCCTGGGTGGTGTATTGATTTTTTTTTCTGAAAAATAAAAATGGTTTTCTTCTTCCTCTTCCTCCTCTGTTCCAGCTGTTTGAGCCAACTGAGTGTGGAAATGGCTACGTAGAACCTGGGGAGGAATGTGATTGTGGTTTCCATGTGGTAGGTATAGAAGACCTCTTGCTTTCAGCACAGTTCTTGCCCAGAACACACATGGATTAGCACTGGGGAGAGTTCCCATGCCATTATATATTGTAGTCTTACAGAACTTCTGATCCCTCCCATCTTTTCTTAATTCCAGTTCAAAATGTTAGAATTAGTCATGTCATTAGGGCTCTATCTGAGATAATGGAATAAATCCTTCTATTCATGTTGTTGTTATGTGCCATCAAGTCACCTGAAACTCATAGTGACCCTATGTACAGTAGCCCTAAACTCTGCTCTATCCCTTGCCAATCTTATTGTCTCTGACACACCTATCCCCATTACCCTAGTCACTGAATCAATCCATCTCATTGAGGGTCTTCCTCTCCTGCACTGTCCCTCCACCCTCCCAAGCATGATGGTCCCTCTCCAAGGACTGATCCAGCCTTGCAACATGTCCAAAGTATGTCAGACGGAGCTTCAGAGTCCTTGCCTCCAAGGAGCAGCCTGACTTCACCCTCTCCAGGATGAACTTGTTTGTTCTCCTAACAGTCAGTGGTATATTCAAAACCACACAGCTCAAAGGCATCAATTCTCCTCCCATCATCCCTAGTCACTGTCTAGCTTTCCTATGCATAGCAAGTAATTGCAAAGACTATGGCCTGTATCAGGCACACCTTAGTCTCCAGAATGACATTGTTGCTCTTCAGTACTTTGGAGAGGACTCTGACAGCAGACTTTCCCAATGCTATTTGTCTTTTAATTTCCTGGCTGCTGGTGCCAAGAGTGTTGACTATGGAGCCAAGCAAACTGAGGCTGTTATCAGTCTTCAATCCATAGTCCTCTTAAAATTGTTATAGTTCATAGTCCTCTCAGACAGGTTTCACCAAATAATGAAACATTCTTGCCATGCTGTGTATTATTTTTCTCTATGAAACTAAATTGGTTAGTAAGAATATTGTAGACCTATTCCTAACTTATTGGCCATTTATTTCCCCTGACATTTCACATTACAACAACAGTAAAATATCTGGTTTGCACATTAACTGTGCACACCTGAACAGCAGTGAACTCTGAAGTCTCTGACAGGGTCCCTAAGCAGTGGACCTTGTGTGTACCTAGAAAGGAAGCTCGAATGCATAGTATTTCACCGTCTAGAAGGTGAGAGAGGGCACAGTCTCCCCAAGCTGCTGGGATGCAGATGGAGTAGAGTGAGTACTGAGAGTGGGATCAGCAGGGACGCTGAGGAGAAAGTGGACCCAGGGTTCTGTTAGGCCCAAGGGCAGCAGGAACAGGCCAGTTCTTGGTCAGAAGGTGTCCTGAAACAAGGCATTTGGGAGGCTGGGGCCTGTGAAACATCACGTTATCTGACAGTAACTGTGCAGCCCCTTACGTTTCCTTGGTATTTCCTCTCAGCTGGGCACAGGTCAGGTGGAGCAGGCTGCATGAATGAAGACCAGTGATAGCCACAGCTTAAAGTCTAGATCTGGCCATCACAGCCTCTGAAGAAGCCCTGAGTTGTACATTCTCATGGAGCTGTGGGAGAAGTGGGGTCAGGGCTGCACAATGAGAACTCAGAGAAGTTTGAACAAGGGGCAAGCCGAGCAGGAGCACTCAGTAGGCAATGCACATCCCTCTGCGGTATTTAGCTGAGATTGGCTCAGGACAGGACAGGGTTCAGAGCTATTGTGTATAGGGTTGCAGGCGACTTGACAGCACATAACAACAATAACATGCTAGGTGAGTCTATCCCTTGAAAAGGGACTTCATACTTGCAAGGATGGAGGGTCAGCAAAGGGGAGGAAGACACCCAACAAAGTGGGTTGACACTAGGGACACAGCAATGGGCTCAACGTGTGTCAGAGATGATGAGAATGGCCCAGGACAGGACAGGATTCACGCTATGAGACATACTTGTCTTAGTGGCACCTAACAGCAACAACAGTAGCCTACAGACAGGGAACGCCTTGCCTCACACCAAACCACAAAGCACATTTCTGAATTGGTAAAGGAATGAGCAGAGCCACACATCCTGAAAATACAGTGAGAGGAGAAGAGGAGGGGACCCCTAGGAATGGGAAGGAGGTGGTATTTGACCCACTGTAGCTCTTGAAAACTGGGCTTCCCTGCCCTGCCCTAAGGAAGGCAGTGGACACCAACTGAGCACTTCGGATGGGATGTGGAAGAGAGAAAGGTGGTGGTGGCAGGTGTCCTCAGTACAGCACAGGTGAGGGGGTGAGTGAGGTGATGTGGTCATCTTCTGTGTTTGCTTTCCTCTGAATTTTGCATAATAACCTCTCCTTTGGAACTTTAATCGTAAGTGAGTATACAGTAGGACTGTTGCCAAGGGCAGAATATCTTCTAAGAAACTTAACCTTTGGCAGTAAAGTCCTTCCTTAGATGATCACATTTGATAAAAAATATGGCATAAAAATTATCATCATTTAAGTGATCATCTCCTACGATATTTACTTACTGTTGGATACGTTGTCTTGGTGGAATGGCGTGTAAATCATTTGTGGAGAGAAGGGTGACTCTGGACATCAGGGAAGAGTCCGTGCTGATTCGTGTGAACTGTGTCTTCCAGGAATGCTACGGACTGTGCTGTAAGAAATGCTCCCTGTCCAATGGGGCGCACTGCAGCGATGGGCCCTGCTGCAACAACACGTCCTGTCTTGTGAGTTCCGTGACTGTTTCTTTCATCATCCTCTTGTTCATGCTCTTTTTAGCCAAGTGTCTCAGCGTGGAAGCCACTGTGTACTGTTCCACAGACTTGTGGGTTGACAGTGTGTTGTCGGCCTGGCAATTCTCTGCAGTCAGTAAGGTCGCTCCAATTCTGCGAGTCACAACATTTACCTTCACTCTTATTTCCTATCGATTATCCTATCTAGATCCCCATCCTCCAAGGGCTTCTTGAGAAAATATATTCATACCACTTATTAAATAAGCATTGAGAGATGTTCTACTGACAAAAATGTGTTGAGTAGAGAGAGGGGTGATGACTCCTGTGGTCTTTTTTATAATACGATGTTTTTTAAAGTACTTTTTAAGACATCGCCCTAGTGTTTTGGATTCTGAGCATAAAAAGCTCAATGCCATTAGGGTTCTTTGAGCATAAAACCAAGCATTTATGTTTTCTTTCATTTTTGGCTTTTTAAATTCCCCATAAAGGCAGGAGTGCTAAATAAACAAGTGATACATAGCTCTGTTTATATGTGCACATATACAATTTCCAATCCAAGATAGAACAGACATTTTTGCCCCCTACTTGAAGCCTTCAAGTCAGGCTTGAAGGGTGTCAGTTTGAATCCACCCAGCAACAACACAGGTAAAAAGGCCTGGCACTCTGTTTCTGTTAAGATTACAGTTAAGAAATACTATGGAGCAATTCTCCTTGCTAATATGTGGGAGTGTCATGAGTCCAAACTGATTGGACAGCAATCCTCAATAACAAATTCACAGACCTAAGTGGTTACATATTATATGTAAAAATTACTCCCATCTACTGAGGTCTCCAGTTAATTTGTTTGTTTTTTTTTCAAATTGATTTGATTACAAAGTTTTTATACATTGTTTCACAGTATTCTTCATTCACATTGTGTTTAATACAATTATTCTCATGCATTATATTTTATAAAATTAATCACCATTGGACCATGCCCATCATTGCCTTGTCTTTTCACCCAGATCCTTCCCCCACACATAACTGCAGCCCTGTGGTTTCACCCCTACATATCCTCACCCCTCTGCTCCCTCCCCACCCCCCCTTGAGTTCCCACACGTTTTACTAGTTATCCTTCTATTTTTACAATAATGGTCTTAGCAGTTGCCCTTATTTTAAAAAGTTGTCCTTTGAAGCCTTTCTTTTCTTATCTTTGAATTCTGATGGCCTAGAGGGTAAGGAGATGTGCTGCTAACACAAAGGAAGTAGTTAGAATGAATACACCAACTTCTCAGAAGGAGAAAGGTGAAGTTTCCTTCCATAATATTTAGGGCCTCTGAAAACCAAAACCCGCTAGAGGGACTGCTATGAGTCAGTTCTGACTCGACGGCACGTAACATTAACACAACATTTCTCATCTATTAAACATCTAGTATTTCTTGTAACTGTAACACGGCATGAGTTCATGGTTTTCTTCAATAATAAAAGATGATAGAGGACATTCTAAAAGAACTTAGCTTATACTTACTTGCCTTTTTGTATCCCACCAGATGATCAAATGGCTTGCGTGGTCCCTTTAATTGTTTATGTATTCTCTACCCAGACAAAAATTCCACTCAGTTTATTATAAAAATTCATTCAAATTTTATTTTCCATATTCAGCAAAGGCAGAATTACTGTCCAAGCTGATAGATAAACTGTTAAAGTTAGATATATACATCAACCTTTAGAGAGATTTACATTTTGATGTCCTGTTATTTTGTCTTAAACTGAACCAATCTTTCTATCCACAATTGTCAGTAATTTTTTTTAAAATTTGAGATTGTGAATTTTGAATTCTGAACATTTAATGCCTTGATTGATGCATCATGTTTAGTACAGAGGCTGACATCTGGGCTTGTTTATATTCTGCAACTGTCTTGATAATTCATGAAAAGAGTTTGGTGGTGGTGATGAGGGACTATGAAGCTTACTGGTGAAAATAAACGTGCAAACCTCTTGGAATGTCAACACCTGCCTCTAACTGATGACTTTGAACTTGCAGTTTCAGCCACGTGGGTATGAATGCCGGGATGCTGTGAATGGGTGCGACATCACTGAATATTGTACTGGAGATTCCGGCCAGGTATGGCAAGCCGAGTGTCAGCTGATGCATTTTCCTTGTAAATACACCTTTTTTTTTTTTATTTAGGTTGTTTATTTTTCATTTCAATGAACATCTACAGAGATTTTGGGATTCCATTCATTCTTTGTTGCACCCTTCTCCCCGCACAAACCCCTCCCCCCTCCCCCCCCCTTCTCCCTGAAAAGCAAAAGAAAAACTCCCTCATTGGTACACAATCCCCCCACCGCACCTCCCCAAACCCCACCCCCTAGCCCCAAATATAATCCACTCTACAACCCTCATTGCATACTCCTACGATAAAAATACACCTTTTAAAGCTTTCAGTATATATTAGTACAGGCTTTGGTTCCTTCTGTTTTTCATTCTTGATTTGCTTTTGTCCTTTGATTATTTCTACCCTTTACTATGCTTCTTATTTCAGGAGCCTTGTGGGGTTTTTAAAAAATATACACTTCTATTTTCAAATTACCCTTTCACTTTGTTCTCTTTATTTCATTAGTATAAATTTTTCCTAGCATATTAAGATTGCACACACTTTTGTTCACAATTTATTTACATGCTTAGACTGAACTTGACCTGGGTAATTGGGGTAAGGAGTGCTAAACATCTCCTCCAAATACTCCTTAAGAGACAGTGGTGCTAAGAAGCTGTGCTGCAGTCAAGAAGGCGTACAGTTCAAATCCACCAGCTGCTCAGCTTCACCACAGGAGATCGATGGACAGTCTTTTCCCAGGCAAATTACTGCCTCTGAAAACCCACTGGAGGCTCAGCTATGGGGTGTTTCTGACTCAACAGTACTTAACAATGACAACAGCACTCTGATGGCTTATTAGCAGGAGCTTCCATGAGGTTCGAGTCCACCAGCTAGCTGCTCCATAGGAAAAAATGCACGATCCCCAGTCCTTCCATGCTATAACTGCCCCTGAAAACCCACTGGAGGATCAGCTGTTGGTTCTGACTTGCCAGTACACAGTGACAACAACAACAACAACAATTAAGGGAACTCTGGTAGCCTAGTGGTAAGGAGCTGCCCTGCCATCCCAAAGGCATGCTGTTTGAATCTACCAGCTTCTCCATGGGAGAAAGATGGGCAGTCTCCTCCTGTAGATTAAATTGCTTCTGAAAACCTGCTAGAGGACCAGCCATGAGTTGGTTCTCACTCCATAGAGCTCAACAGCAACAACAACAGCAGCATTGAGAAAAAGAGACTGCTGAGATCCTCTGCACCGCTGAGAAGCAGCTCCCACAGGCAACATTATGATTTGGCCTCTTTTACCTCTTCAGTAGGTTTTGGATTAATTTTCATATAGACATTTATTGATGCCTCTGAATAATTTTTAAATTCATAATTTATAACAAAATAAACAAAAAAGTTCATCCAGTTTAGAGAAATCTTTGTCATATCATGCTGAAAGACATGGGAAATATTTTTGTTTGAGCTCTGAAATATATCATCTAAATTAGTGATAAAAAACCAATTTAAAATAGGCACATTTGATTGCTGTTGCACTGTTGATGCCTCCTTCAAGCGAACAACATAAAACCAAAATCTAAAATGACTTTTGGAAGCTGACTAAAATAAAATCCAGGCAGAGTGAAATGCACCTCTATTTAGAAGACTTCACAAGATTCAGGACATGCAGTGACTTCTCTTGTTAACATCCCAATGATCAACAACTGATTTTTACTAAGCTAAACGAAAACAAAACTGATTAGATACTCTCTTTCATGTGACTATAACAGTTTACAGTAAGGATTTATTTTTGTTTTAATTCATAAAAATCCTACATACATTTCCTTCATGGAACGTCACAAAATTGAAATATGTCACAAATTAATTTTAGACCTTGATGTACCCCTTGTCTTAGCATTTCCTTTGCACTTCTGTTCATGGTGGCTTTTTTTTAGAGAAAGTAAATAATTAATATTAGTTGACTAATGAAATGATGATTGCATTTTGAGTAAAATTTGATGAAAGAGACCACAGGGTACTCTAGATTTTATAGTTGGCATGATAGTTCCAGGTTTTCTTATTGATAATTACATATTTGAATAAACACCATTAAGTTGAATAAAAAGCTTTGGTAAATGAAAACTTGCATGAGACTCCATTGTTTTTTAGAAAGATGTAGAACCAATGCATTTTATCTTGTTGTGTTCTATTGTAAGCTAATGTTTCTTAACAATCCTACTGATTTTATTATCTCTCTGTCATGAGTGTGATAAACATCTTGATGTGTGTAGAATAATTTAATTATGTTTATATTTCTATTGATTATCTGAGAAATAAAACTCTACACAGATACTCTGATGGCCTAGTGATAGGAAGTCATACAACCAACCCAAAGACAGGTGATTTGAATCCACCAGCTGCTCCATGGGAGACAGACGACCAGTCTACTCCCATGCAGTTTTCTGCCTCTTACAATCCACTGGCGGGTCAGCTATGAGTCGGTTCTGACTTGATGGTATGTAACAACAGCCTACGCTTAGGAAGGTCTGCTGGCGTAGTCGGTAGCAAGTTGCACTGCTGATCCTAAGGTGGCACTTCTCTGGTGATTTGAATGCATCAGTGGCTTTAACTTAGAGTGTTTCCTTGGAAAGCCAGCTGGAGGGTAAATGGTGGGTCAGTTATGACTTGACTGCATGACTGACTAAATCAGTATGGACTGCATAGCACCTTCAAGAAGACAAAAGTCCTCTCCACTGGACTGATAAGCAAAATTATAATAGATGGAAGCAAGATTGAAATTGCCAACTGTTTCATCTTAGTTGGATCCACAATCAACACCCTTGGTACCAACAGTCAGGAGATCAGGAGACTTACTGAATTGGGCAAGTTGGCTGTCAGGAATCTCTGAAATACTAAACAGCAGTGATGTTCATTTGAAGACTAAGATGTGCTTGATTCAGGGAATAGATAGTGAATGAAGATGACAGAAGAATAATTAATGCCTTTGACCTGTTGTGTTGGAGACGAGTACTAAATATCCCAAGGACTGCCAAAGGAACGGATATTTCTTGAAAAAAGTACAGCCAGGATGCTCCTTAGAAGCAAGGATGGCAAAGCTTTGGCTGTCATACTTTGGAAATGTTGCTAGGAGAGGCTGTTATACATGAAGAGAGATTGGAGAGATGGTAGGGTGACGTGAGAGGAAGCAGACCGTGTAGACCTTTGCAGTCAGAAGATAAAATGGGAAGGAAGCCTTTGAGCATTGTGAGCAGAGGAGTGGCATGATCTGATTGCTGTTTCTGGAGGGATCCTGTGATGGCTGTGTAGACAATAGGGAGCTAGGGAAGAATCAGGGGGATTGGTAAGAAGGCTACTTCAGTAACCCCAGTGAAAGGGAGTGGGCTCAGGACAGGGCATTAGTTCCCAGTGGAGAGATGAATGAAGTAGTCGGACCATGAACTTATTTTGATGATAGAACTGATAAGACTTGTTGACAAAGTGGAGAATATAAGAGTAATCAAGGCTAACCGCAGAGTTTTGGTCTGAAGAGTGGAAAGGATGGGACTGTCGTTTATGAACAAGATTATGACTTGTGCATTCAATGGACGTTGTGTTTCTTCTTCACTTGTCACGTCCATGGAGTTACCCCTCACCCCTTCATATTTCCTTCTAACACTGTAGAGGAATCATTGACTTCATCTTTTTTTTTCTGCTCTCAAATGTGATAAATAAAGTGTACAGAGCAAACAATTTAACTTATTCATGGTTACTTTGGGGGAAATAATAGTATGTTTTTAGAATATAAATAAACCTATACAAAGAAATAACTTTCTTACTATGAATTGTTCTGATAACAAGTTTGTGTCTGCTGAGAACAGTGATACACCATCTACATTGAGATGACAGCTGGCGCGTTGATGATTCTTTGGCAATAAGTTCGGTCTAGGAAAGACACTAGAGATGGGTGTCATGGTGTCATTGCAGCTTTGACATTTTCACTGTGCTGAACACCATCTTGCAAATTAGTTCCTAAATGTGTCCCCTCCTACCCAACAAGCTGTTTCATTTCTTTTATTGGCCACTTAAATTTCTTCTATTTTTAACTCTGTGGGCAAGTGAATTTTAATTCTTTACCCCAGACCACCTCATGGTAAACAGAGAAACACAAAAAATACCCATCATGTGGGCCTAAGCTAGTTATTTCTTTTTAGCAAGAATAGAACTCATTTAGATACCCTGCTTAAAGAGTTAACACTCGTTTTTAAAATGTTCTTGGCAATGCAATCATCATGTTTACACTTTTTGCATATTTTAAAATAGGGACATTGTTCAAGGATAGTTAATATTTAAACATTTACTAAAAGATTTTGTTTTTCAGTGCCCACCAAATCTTCATAAGCAAGATGGATATGCATGCAATCAAAATCAGGTAGGCTGAGCTAGAATTTTACATGTCATTTTAAAAGAATTTGTGTCGAAATTTATTTTCTTTTTCTTTTTTGCTAAGTGTAACTTCAAAGGGAAATTACAACTCACATTATAGTAAAATAGCAGAGCATTCTAATTCAGAGCTGCTTCTTAACAAACCAAATATTAACCATGAGATGTTTCGCCGACTGTAAATTAATTATCCAGGTGAAACCAAATGAAGAGGAAAAGATAATGACTGAAGAATTAAACAGTTTACTGATCTATGACCAGTTTCTAGTAATTTCTGTTTATCTACTAACAGAATCTGTTAGAAAAGGATTTTTTTTGATGTTTTCTTGGGGTTTATTTTAAAGTCATGTAATAGACCAACTATGTCTACAGAAAATGCAAATGATGTCATTAAAGAAAACGTTCCAAATTCTTGCTTTCCGTAAAATTTAGAATTTCACATGACTACCTTGGATGCTTGGTAGGGTGGAGGGACAGCGCAAGAGGGGAAGGCCCTCTATGAGGTGCATTGACTCAGTGACTGGGGTAATTGGGATGGGTGTATCAGAGACAGTGCGATTGGCACAGGACAGAGCAGAGTTTAGGGCT